CGATCGCTAGTCGAACTATCGATTCGTACTGCTTGTGCATAGTTTTAATTAACAAAATTGACTTACACACTTCAAACTCTCAGCCTTCCAAGGAATGATCGCATACGTAGAACAAGGTATTTTCTTGACATCTCAGTAGACGGTGACCCATTTCATACAATTAATCGCTTTTATCAAACCAAAATAGCGTTGGTAGACTAAGGGTTTGAGACATCACAAGGTATAGCGAGCATTTCTGCCTTACAACACAGTTGCGCGTAGATAAAGTTAAAATATTATCGTTGTGCAACTCGCGCCGTAATGGTATACACACTGAACTTCATGGTTTTCTTTACGATTTACTGTATTGTCCCTCCTGGTTTATTTTTACTCTCTTGTGTATCCGGTGTCTGCCCGTCGATCGATTGCATCACTTTTACTGTAGTGGTTTGTAACGTTCAGGTTTGACGATCGGTCCTCGTGAGAAACCCGAGACTCGCTTTGCATTCTACGATGGGTTTGCGAAATGCGCTTTTCACACACTTGGTGGTCCACCGCTATCCGCAGTATTCCGAATGTTCACGCACTATGGACTGGACACACTGAGGCTTTCGTGGTACACACAGTCTATGATCAAGGATTTTCGCAAGTGAGTGATGCAATTTGAACTCATGCATTTNTTATATTTTGCATGAGTACGTTGAATACTCTGGTTCACTCATCCTTCCGGAATGCTCATGAACCATATATATGATCACTGGCTGTTAGTGGTCATGAACTCTTGCTGCCCAGCGATTCGCACTAGGATATTCACGGGCCAGAGGTGCAACCCAGATCAGAAACTGAATTAATCTTGGAACAAAATTCTGTACTTCATTCCCATGACATTTGATGTACTCTGACATACGAATGACTCATACGCTATGAAGTCTCTCGTGTTCTCACCAACCGATACCGCCAGGATGCTAACTGGTCAAAGATTTTTCCCATGATACCTGAACGTCAGGACTGTCCTAGATAAGGGGATTCAGAGCATTACTGTACGCTCCCTGTACGACTACAGAATAACCAACGTGCCTGTTGAAAGTACCACTCCCCAACTACGGTGCATGATGAGTTTACACTGCCAAAGCGAATACAACCTTCTATTTATGTAACAGTGGATATACTGACAACTTCGGGTTGCCTACAGGTTTTGTCGCTGTTAACGATTGCACAGTGATCTCTTCTGATCCTTATCAACGTCAGCTTCTCACAAAGCTATTCCGGCAAACGTCCCATAATGTCTCAACAGACTCACCTTCTGAGGCGGAAATCCTCTAGGAGATCCGAGCCTTCTGACATCACAAAGCGCCGGAATCCGATGGTCTCCTTCCAACTCTCTTCGAAGGTGGTGGGATAAAGCTTGCTAAAGAGCTGTGCTGTTCAACTATGCAACCAACTAGACGATGAACCGTGCCCTGGCTAATCACTTGGAAGCTCAGCTGGTCCGGATAATTGAATCACACGACTATTCCTCTTGACAGTGGCGCGCTAATTCGCTTTGGGCTTTGACCACGCAGTTTCCGCAAGTCCCCTCGCTGTAAATGTCTTCATCGGAAGATACCAATTCTGCTCTATTGGATCTTGTCCGAGTCGTACAACAAGAAAGCACTCCATCAGTCGAGAGGGGAACCTAAGTCACTTTCAGTGGTGTCTAAATCCTGAGTGGTCTGATTTATTTGTTTGAGGGTCGTGAATGTTATGATTGATAATTGGACGTCACCTCATTCGAAGAAGATATGACCTTTCGTGTGAGAAATACTTGATCGAGTAAGACAATAATGACTAGGTGAAAAATGTTTTTTCATTAGCTTAGAGGGTCATATGTAGGTAGAATTGGTTTTCACCAGTTTCTCTTGCTCTCATCCAACTTCAACAGCACGCTTCTAAACTCATGTCAAACGATGAAACATACGATTTGAAATGTATTATTGAAAAAGGACAGTGGTCATGAGTTGCGAAATTGGGTTTGGTTAGGGGATGAGGTCAAGCTGGATGATGAAACGTGATAAGATACGAAAGCGTACTAGTTACAAACCAGATCATAAATGCGAGTGGTGGTGGAAGGACGGGTTGGGGAAAACACGCCATACCCGGGTGATGTAACATCTGGGGTGACGTAAACACTACCATTGCAACAAATGTTTTCCAAAGCGTAACTACGGATTCAAGGGATGAATAATTATCGCTCTTAGAAATCGCGAGATCCGTAATTTTTGAGATTTGATGCTGATAGAAAATATCTTTGGTGCGTCGACTTCTTGACCGAAATCTAACAAATGCAGTGCAAATTCACTCCATTGCAATTTTCCCCCACGAAGAGTAAGATGTTTGCTGATATATCCGCTTATTCTGGTTTTCAGGCGACGTTCTGTTCTCACTTACCCCTCACCGCAGATGCGTGAAAAGGAATAGATGTAGTTAGAGGTAACACCGGCTTCCTTTATCCAGAATTATACCAGTGAAATAGTTTTTCTCGTGAGTGATTTGAAACCCTGCTGAATTTGTGTTTGCCACGTACACTTCATCTTCAACGGAAATATCTGTAACCAGGTTGATGATGTCCCTATGGGAAGCCCGTTGGGTCTAATGTGGATGATACCTTCTTGTCAGCACTTTCACTTATCACTTTCGGGTGGGTAGTGTGACAGCATCCCCCACAAGCAAATTATGAATCTATTTGTTTGTTATAAGTATGATTTGTATCAGATTCGCTCGGCACTTGGTGTGAACTCAAACACATGTTATTTATCATATAATCGTTATACTGTATGTTTGGGTTAGGCTCCAATCCTTTGTTTGTCAACTTTACCTCCAACCGCAGAATTTATCGACTACAGGAAAACAATCATTGTTTTACAACAACGGCACACTTGCTTAGCGCACTTCGACCGGATTTTGTGGTTATGACCACGGTGCCATATGAGCGATGGCTGACAGAGAAGATCAAGGTCGGGAAGAAGATGAGAGATGAACTGNCTGACTTACGGTCTAGTCTCGAACAATTTTTGTCAAAATCAGACGGTTCATTCATTCGTGGGTGAGTTTGGGAGATTATTCGTCTGTGATCAACATTCCGAATACTGTACACGATAGTTAAACAAGAAGCCCTTTATTTTGCTGTTTATTCGTCATTTTTCAGCGTTCTCCTTTTTTCATTTTTGTGGTACTTTAAAGCATTTCACAGATTTTATCGAGTGTTCCGTATCGTTTCGTCTCCCGTGTATCAATTTTCACCCAGTCAACTCCGCAGACCCAACTGACGCTACCCGAATTGTTGTTGTTGTTGTTGTGAACAACCGAATCTCTTTGTCTCTCGACACATCACAGTACTATAAATGGTTATGATGATTGATTCACATTGTCTTACGAAACTTGGATTGTGCGTGCAATTGACGTACCGTGATTCGAAGAGCTGTTTGAAAATCTTAGTTACTCGAAGTCTTAGCCTTGTGCCCTGTGTCTTACCAACCTCTTATTGATACCAACCACTGAGACGATAGAGCCTCCTAAGAAGAGAATATATTTCGTGCGTCCAGTATCCAGAATAAATGTGTGACACGCAAACCTAAATTTACCGAACCCTGCAAGTCTGAAATCATCACAAGAAACATGATATCTGAATTATTTCGTTGATCATTACGGAGCATGTGCCCGTGCAAAGTCAGTTTGTTCAGAACATTTAGTCAACTCGGGGGCGGAACGCGGTTGATCGGAAAATCTTGGTTTCGATTTACTGGTTGGCACCTCAAAGCGTTATCTAATGGTACGCCAAAGTTTTCAGAATACTTGGTGGATTAAACCTCGTGGTAGCAGGGAGCTTGAAAACCACAAACATCAATCGTGTACTGATGGCAACACTGTGGCTTTCACAAGCCGTTTGGATTTTTATCTTTCGTTGCAGTTTGAGCCTAGTCAACGAAGTTTGGATTACCACTCTCGTTAAGGATTCCGGTTGGATCACAATGGGACCAAACACGAATCCTAGTCTCTCTTTTCATCCGTCTCTGGGACCATGAGGGCACAAACTTGTCACTGCGTAATTCCATCCGGGCCATTTAAATACTCCTACAGTGTCCTGTTTTGTCATGCCCTCTCGTCCCCCTCCAAGTGTGCAAAATGTATTATTAACCTTTCTCGTTATTTATTGCCTCTTTATCCTCTCTCAGTGATCATCAGTTCCCTGTCCAGAGGTCGTTCTGTTAAATATCTAGGTTTTGACTTAGTTTGTAATCTGACATCAGTTCTGTGTTGTGAATTTGCGTCCATTGTCATTTCAAATACGTAAAGTGAGAAAATTTCAATGCCATTTTACCAACCCGACATTTGTCTGGATCTTTTGAAATCAGGCTCTAGATTTTTGCGCTACTGCTTACCATTTATTAGTTGCGTTTCATCAAAATCTATTAGCTCTGTTATTGAATAAGTTGTTTGGCAACAGTGATTGTTGTTTAGTCTTGGCTCACAATATATTTCAAGACCCCATGCTTCCATCACACAATGTTGTGTGATAATGTGATTCTCATTCAACCACTCGTTCAGAATAGGTAAAAGCTTGTACACAACTCTTCTGTACCACAGTCAAAACAAATTTACTCACCAATTTTGAATATTAGCTCAAATTTGTATCCCTTCGCTAGGTTACTTTTGATTCGTTTCGTAACTGAGTACTTCTGTGTGGTAATTTTCGATCTTTTCGAAAGTGAATTGTTTGCAGAAGTCCATTCCATAAACATAATGCACGATGAGTCGTTGTATACCTTTGTGTGTATTCGCCCTCCGTATTGGATCCGCGGGTCGATAATGCAGGGCGGTCGCATGGGTTGTAGGCTGGTATGTGGTTTAATGGTTTGTCCTGATTAGGTCGATTTATCGATTCTGGAACTTCCTCACAGGTTTTACGCGTTTTTCTAAACTCACGATTGTCCTTGCTTCTGCTTTTTCCAAACACGCTCTCCACCGTCCTTCAAAAATACGCTATGTTTCATATAGGCATGATTTCTGCCGCCTCAGTCGTGCCTGCATTGCTGTATATTAAGGATGGCAATGAATTGGTACCGGCCAATTTGATCAAACAGGCCTTGGAGTCCAATCCGACCGGAGCCCCGAAGGAGTTCGTCCACGCACAAGTACAAAGCATTGCACCCGTGCCGAAGCGAAATAGGTAAGTTCTTGATGATTATCGTGTAATTGCTCCGGTATAACAAAATGAATGTGTTCTTTCGTCCAATATATTATTGTCTCAGATTTACAATTTACCTGAAACCATCATTCCAGTCGATCGGTATCATGTTCTCGTTATTTTACGAAAATAAACGCAACCAGAAAATACTGTAAAGCGAGTACGATATAAGACATATTGCGAACAGAATACAGAATTCTCAGACATGATTATTATGTTAGCTGGCGCTCTCAAATCACTCGTCCTTTAATTCCTGTCCGATCCTGCACCTTACACATGCATACATTGAATAGCGTATCTCAGAGAGAAAGAGGACGTGATTCCAAGTTGTTCCATTCATACAGTGATAGTGTGCAAGTGAACTGAGTTCCTTGATTCTGGTTTATTTGTGTCCATCACTCTTGTGTTTATCGTGAGTAACGTGAGACGGTTACGTAATGTCTATCGATTTTCACACACCCACCGAACGATTTGGTCGAATATAGGACGGCTTCCAGGACCACGCGCTTCTCTTAACTCGTGCTGACGTTGACCTCGTAATCCGCCTTTGCACAGTCGTTCAATTTTTGTGTGTCTACGTTTATTATGTTCGTGTGTTGGAGCCTCACGAAACCACGATTATACATGTGTTGTTTTGTCGATCCTCAAAGAGTTGTATCGCCATACCTCAGGTCGGGTTAGGGCCTATCACCAGCTTTCGCCACCCTTCACCGTCTCCAGTGGAGTTCGNCAAGGCTGCCCTATATCCGCATTCCTTTTCAACATTGTCATAGAGGATGTTCTACGGAATGCTTTGTCCGGTCTAGCAAACGGTGTTCTTGGCTGAGAATATGCCGATGACATCCACTTGCTGGGTGACAATGCACAGGCAGTCCAAGAAACTTTACACCACTTGGCGATAGGGGTATCCAGGTATGAAATATGCTTTGCACCATCAACGTGCAAAGTGCTGGTTCAAGAGTGGCAAGAGCCTGTGCCTGCACTCACCCTCTGTGGTGATCAGCTGGAAATGGTCGCGAGCTTTAAGTACTTCGGGAGCTTCATCGCAGCTGGAGGTGGTGTTGGAGAGGAGATCAGATCATGAATAACGAAAGCTGGAGCAGCTTTCTCCAACCCACGACACCTGTGGCGCCGCCATGACATCCGTTTGTCCCTTAAGGGAAGGGTGTACATCGCTGCAGTTCATAGTGTTCTGGTTTACGGCTGCGAGACTTGGTCTGCCCGAGCGGAGGATGCTAATGAACTTTTTGTCTTTGACCACCGATGTCTCGGAAGCATTGCTCATGTCTGGTGGGAACATCGGGTGAACAATGACGAGGTCCGTCGTCGTGTGTTGGGTGTGGATACTCATTCCCTAACAGAAATAATCGCTCTACACCACCTCCGATGGCTTGGTCACGTTTTGCGTATGCCTGCCCATCGACTACCTTCCCGTGCTCTCTTTGCACGTACCGGGCAAGGCTGGAAGAAGCGGCGCGGCGGTCAGACCATGACATGGCGTAACGGTATGGAGAAGCTAGCTTCAGCTTTGGCTTCGGTTGGTGCAGCCCGCCTTCCAGGTTTGGGCCCAATGGACGAGGATTTTCTTTGGTTAGAGACGCTGAGAGATATGGCTCAAAATAGAAGTCAGTGGCCTGAATGCTATTCGGTCTGCCTGTGGAAATCTTGTGCCCTGTAGAAACAATAAACAAAACAATTTCAAAAAGTGTATGGTGAAACACAAAAGAAATTATCATTCCATCTACTCGTAATCTTCTGGCAGTAACGTCTCTTTCCGTATACTCTGTATCCCAACCCTTCCCCGCGTTGTTGTTATTGTTAATATTGTTGTGGTGTTGACACCATGCTTATTCTCAAGCCGGTGTTATATATAGTGTTATTTACGGATGAGTTTTTCATGATTGCTTGATACGGCTGTACTCAACCCGGCAAATTCGCTGGCAATCTTTCTGGACACAATCTCCATCTAACCAAAGTCATCACCGCGCTATGATATTTGATAAACGGAATAGGACGAACTTGAATTGAAATCTGCATAGCAGAAAGCGTCACTATTTTTGCAAAATCTCACTGATAATGTGAATTCAGTCATGCGAGTGAAATGATGTATATGTATTTGTATTTCACTGGCCTTTGGATCTAGACTATGTGCCAAACAAATCATAGTCCAATGATCCATAAAAGAGATACCACTATTTGTCTGTGGACGGAATACGACCAGGTTACCCAAGCCAAGTTGAATTAATTTTCTTGAGGAATCTACAACCGAAGCCTTCGGCTAGCGAAGGCCTGACCTGCAAGGCAGTGGGACAGTGTGAGAAAACCGCAATCCTTTGGGAGCCGGTGTCCAGTTCATCGAATCATACACCCTTAGGAAGGGGTCAAACGTCCAAAGCATCCAATACACCNGAGCTGGTGACCACTGCTACAACCAGGAAGGTGTGTGGGTGTGTCCGTTTCGTACACCTCTTGGTTGGTTTGGAATCAGGGTTTGTAGCCATCGCCATCTCAACGAACTGCTAAGGGTTCACTGATCCGGATATTGTTTTTAGTGCTCTCACCAAAGGGGAAACATTTCGGTCACGAGAGGGCAGTGGAGTATGGTCTCTTCAATAAAGACGTTTTAAGACGCTTGCGTGTGTAGGTACTCTCCGTGCGGTGCAAGGAAAGGTGGCCAGCCACAAACCACCACGAACAAACTGAGGCTAATGTAATAAATTTATTAGATTAGAGCATATAATATTCGATCATTTATCATTATTAAATTAAATGTTACGTCCTCGGGTGTGCCCGTTTAATCGGTCTGCTTTCGCTTTTATTTTTGCTATTCTGGAATAAAGTCTTTCTTTGTAGTAGATGATTCATTGCAAACTAGATTGGATGAATGCGTGCGTTTGAGCTGTAGCTTCATATGTGAGGAATTTTCTGTCCAATGCACTCGCTGATACCTAATATTGTTTTTAGTCCGATGGAGTCACTGGAACCACAGCCCCACACTCCAACAGTTAATGCTTTTACTGTATTTGCCTCGCCATGCGCTGTGGTCCATTAGCCGTCTAAAACCACGGCTCACTGCTCCTCCTTATGGTCAGATTCTATCCATGTCGAGACAAGGTGTATCGTAGTCCAAGTGACGCTTAGCGATCTCCAAAAGCCGTGATTAATGTCGCAGAAGACGCATAATGAATTTCAATCAATTATTCAATCAGATATGAACTGGAATATCTGGCCCACGGTCAGAAACGATCCAAGCGAGAAGAATTCGATTATGTGATCTTGGCTGCTCCACTGCATCAAGAAGCTACCATTGAAGGCAAAAGTACTCTTGCACTACCCAAGTATGCCTATCAGCGCGTGGATCACAGCTTTTTCCTCGGAGTGTTGAAGGATGCAGCAATCGGTCTGAAGTCCAGTGAGTAGCTGTCGTCCTTTTGCGTGGTTCGTTTTCATGCTATTTGATTCTGTTTAATGCTATTGAATCTGATAAATCACTGCCCCCTGCCACATTTGGAAACACGTTAAAGCTTACAAATCACCGTCTGGTTGATCTTCTGTCTAAGGTAGTTGTTTGTGGTTGTGGATTCTGATCTAGATCCCGCTTTTGAACCATATATGATGATATCTAAAGTAAATCACAATCCTAACATGATGTTTCAAAAATCCTTACCGAAATAAGCATAATCATAGTCCCCTATGACCTTGTGCGACTTGATTCATTTCCAAACGACTGTGTCTCATCCCTTGACATCTAGATGGAAGCGCTTTCCCTTCATATTCAACGAAAGTGGAAGCGGCTTGTGTTTGGATGTCAGGCAAAAGTCACGTAACCAAACTTTATCAATATTCCTGCGGAAATCACGTTTCCACACTGGTTTTTGCAGCGTTGAATCCGTTACGTAAATTGGTTATTGTCTGCCATTTGTAACTATCCTGTGTTCCCTCATCTGTAATGATTGACCACCGTCTCGCTTTCGTTTCTTGTAATGCGACTGTACAGGGTCTTAATAACGGACCTTTATTGCCTAGTTTTGTTCATGTTATTTTGATCGCATGGATTGTTCACCCAATAATATGACAACAATAACAGCAACACTGGTACATGTGAATATCATTTGGCGTGATGTTTACCCATGTTTATCACAAACCTGCAGGGGAATGATATTTTCCATGATAATCACAATCCCTCTGCTGCCCGCACTATTCGAATTGAGTAGTAATGCTCGATCTCCGACCAATTCTGGAAGGGATTATCTTTGCACTCAGTCGTAAATGTTGAGTTGTTTCAACAAAAGGCTATTTAGAAACACACTTGTTAGGGGTCGAACGCTAAAATGCGAATCGTGAACCCTTACTCGTAAGCTCCATTACTACCGTGCTGTGCAATATCTGGACGCAAGGGGCAAACCATCTTGGGGAGAATCACTGGTCGTTCCCATTTTTAAGAAAAGATCTCGCACCGATTACGAAAACCACCGCGGGATAAGTTTGATCCCCTTTGTCACTAAAGTGTTAGCCTGTGTCATCCTTCGGCGTCTTTAAGTGAGATCAACATCCCGGAACAACAAGTCTGATTTCGGCCTAGACGTGGATGTATTGATCACAGTTTTACGTGGAGTTAAGTCTTTGAGGTGCGTCACACCCATCGTCGATCAACCATCGCAGTGTTTCTTTATCAGAAAGGAGCGTTCGACTCATTTGATCGGGAAGCTCTCATAGCTTCTCTTCCAAAAGGAATTCCCCAGAAATACGTTAACTTACTGAGGGCACTGTACCCACATACCTTTGGTCGAGTTAGGGTTTACAACGAACTAATTGTTTTTTCCACATTCGATATATGCTTCCCATCTTCAAAGTACAGTGATGCCGCAGGACTGGGTATCGCCGACTCCCGATCTGAAACTAAATGGCCAGGAATGAATTATATTGGTGTTGGTTGCACAGTGGTTTAGTTGCTGTCACCGGCGTGCTTCGAACCCTATTGTCCGAGGTTCGAGTCCGCCACCCGACCTAGGTGGTAGGCAGCTCTGCTGTCGTCCTGTTCACTAACGCGCCTAACCCATCGAGTATTATATGGTTCGCCAATCCAAGTCCTTGGGCTTAGGTTGCCGGTTACCATCATTGAATAGCAGCTCCTCGTGACTATGGGGTTCTCCCCGTCTGCTGTTCAACACACTTAGATGTGTAAGAGAAAAATAGTAGATTACTTTTCGTAATTAGACAGTTGCATGACCAATGACGGAAGCGCATCAAAGGAGATAGCCGCTCGCATTTCCAAGGCTTGCGTGGCATACGCAGGTGTGAAACACCCTTGCCGTAGACGCGACGTTTCACTGAAGTTGAAAGGTCGTGTATATTGTGCTAGCGTTCATTCAGTTCTGCTTTATGGTTTTCAGACCTTGCATTTGCGAGTAGAATATATCCATCGATTAGAGATTTTCGACTATCGGTGTTTACGTTGTTTAGCCCATGTGAAATGGAGCGAAAGGGTTAGTAATGTGGAGTTAGGCCGTCGTGTGTTTGGAAGTCTGTCAGGCATAAACCTGCTAGCACATCGAATTCGTAGGCTTCGCTGGTAGGGCACATATTGCATAGGTTGAGCTATCGTCTACCACATCGCGCCTTATTGGATGTAGCCGTTTCGGGCTTGAGGAAACCACGTGGAGACGAGGCTTGAGGAAATGCACAGAGCCATTAGATAGGGTAGGTGTCTCGCGCCTTCCAGGTTGGGGACATTAACGGATCTAGTAACGAACCGACGGCTTTGGCGTTCTTGTTACCATTCCTTATCAGGCCAGAATGTTTGAAACGATATGTAGGTAGAGTTCGATTGTGTACTCGATGTGTTGACCATATTGGTTCACCTTCTTCCCCCGTCCTCAAATTAGATCCAATCTCTGTCCACGTTGAATTTTACCACTAACCTTCTGTACATTGCAGCGATCAGTAAAGATCACTTCGCTGTATCTCGATGTACGATGATGATGAACCCGCTGTGTTAACCGCATAACTGAACCTCGAGTCCTTCATTATGAGATGATGAAGTCGTTTTTCCCAGTGGGACCTTGACCCTGTTCATATGTGGCTCTCGAGTAAATTTTCTCTTCACGTTTCATGTCATAGATTCCTATATACCAAAACAGGAAGTGGCTATCCTGCCTACAAAGCGCGCCTACTTGGAGGATCCAGAATGCCTGTTTCGTAGTTTCATTTCTCCTCCCGAGAGAGATCTGCCTTCTGATCGCGTTTGGTTGGCTTTCTCTGAGCCTCATCGTGTCCCCGATCCGATCCGTGCTCTATCTGAAAAATATCTCCAACTCGCCCCGATCACTGAAAGCTTGAGTGGTCCACCGGAGAAGAATGCATTGGTTACCAAGTGGCTTGCTTATCCAACATATAAACCAGTAGTACGTTTTCGTGTAACTCCAACCCATCAATATATGTAATGCCTAATGATTTTTCAATACTAACCGATGCAGTGGTCAGATAAGTTCGCTGCCAACAACCTTAAGCATAGAGTAGTACTGACGGATGTTATTTTATAAAGGGCAAAGTTTGTTGAAGGGTTGTAGCTACCGCGGACACCAATATACGTCTTCGTTGATGAATCGGTTTTCAAAGTTTATGGGCTACATATATACGTGTGTTAAAAGTAACAAAATCCTTTCTCACCCCCCCCCACCCTCCCCTTCCAATCTGTTTATCTGATCACGATTCCATGATGACCTTTTTTATNACATGATAACCTGTGCGCATAAGTGCGTATAAACTTTCGGTGTTTGCCACGGATTTTGACCAGCATACATATTAGTAAAAGCGATTGTTAGAAATTGTACTGCTGAACTGTTCTATGTGCCTGTTATCTTTGAGGTGGATCATGAAATTATTTAGCCGAACTAGCCTTCCGATAATCGCAGCAACCATATATAATTCCTTATTGTCGACATTTGTCAGTCACAAAGAGTGGCGACTTTCCGCATGATGCAAATAGCTTATATTTCCTCTGCCAGTGGTCATTTATCCGGTGTGTTTGTGTTACAGGAGGATCCTGTGAAGGAGCTGGGCCAGTTTGTGCTTGCGCCGCGTCTGTACTATGCCAACGCCATCGAACAAGCAGCTTCGTGTATGGAGATGGCAGCGATTGGCGGGCGGAATGTGGCCCTACTCGTAGCCGCCGACAGACAGAAAGCAAAGAAAACTTCCGGTCAAGAAGCCGCCGGAGATGACAAGCCGATCTTGGTGGATCATTTTAGCATCCCTAAACTATCGAAGCTGTGATTCTCCTCTCCCCTCCCAATGGTTTAACGCAATTGATCATTGTTTTGTTACTAGTGTTTAAACACAATTCGGAACCATTTCTTTAGCTTGCAACTGGTGACGCAAGATTTTCGACGGAACGCGTACTTTTTCTATTATCTTCTGGATCCTCATACTTGTGTTGGATGCAAAATGTATACTCTTTACTTCAAACCCAATTTTTTGTTCTCTCTATTTGTTTCTAGCGACTGTGCCTTAAGCGGGACGGAGAGTACATTCAACTCGTCCGTGTGGTCCGTAGATGAATGCTCAATGCGAGCTATGTTTTACGTTGATCATGGGTTCAGTGTACAGAAGGTATATGTATTGAAAGATGGGCATGCAAGTTGTGTCCCCTATTACAAATAGTCCTCCGGATATAAAAAAACTGAGCTAATCATACATCCAGCTGCCATGTCGGATGGATTTGGAGAAAAATAACCTTACTAGAACCCATCGAAATCTCGATCTTGGGTATGTCGATGATACAAAACACAGTGAACTTGAATAGAAGGCGTGTGATGGGAATCAATCATTCCAGGTAAATTACGATATTGCGAATAGTTGTGCTGGTTTCAAATGCGATGGGAATACATTTGTGATGACAAACAAAGAGCACTGGTCAGCTGTTTTGTCCTGTTCGGGGCTTGTCAGCAATGCGTACTTTTCGTGTTCTTCTCAAAACCCGAACCGTGAACCTTCGGGTAGGGACATCCTTGAGCTACACGGGTGACGGTCATCTTGTGTCAATGGGCTCAATCAATTTTAGATTATCAAGCTTGGATTACCCTATTGGATTGTTCAGAGGCACCGGACACTTTTGATGGCCTTGGGTATGAGTTTCATTCCTTAGGAGATCGGTACTTTCCCACGAGGTAAATAGATTCAAATGTGATGGAAATGTTTGGTGATAACCGAGAGAGTTTGAAGTCTCTACCCGAATATTCGCGTTTCGAGTCCTGACAGGGACACAAAAGTCCCAAACAGAACGAAACAGCTGCTCAGTGCTGTTTATCCGTCATCACATCGCATTTGAATGCATTTACCTCGTGGGAAATTACTGATCTCCCAAGGAGTGAAGCTCACCCAAGACCATCGATGATGCCTGGTGCCTCTGCACACCGAATCAATTGAAACCGGATGCTCAGAAGCTGTGTTGGTTGTTGTGTAAGGTGTTGTAATCTCAGTCACAGTTCAAAATTGTTCAGCACGACTTTTAAGTCGCATCGCGTCTTCGAAGCGGGGATTTTTATTTCGGATCTACTGACAGAATCCTGTCACACCAAAAGTGATCGAGGTATGATTTTGACGCACGTAGACGCTAACTCTAGGCGTTCAAAATAGATTAAGGTGATTAAGTTATCCTGCTCTACTGATTGTATACCATGGGTTGTATTCAATGGTTAAGCACAGTCTGCATTGGTGTATCAGGTGTCTCCCGAGCTGATCTTTCCTTGTCCCCTGGTTGCAGTTCTTGCCATGGGTGATATTCAGTCGGATCACCTAATCAACATGCATGCGCAACGCTAATTTGTGCATCATGGCCTTGGACTAAGTCTATCTATAGTCCACAATCCTTGACTGAACAAAATCTGCGATCCACGGGGGTATGTTTGTATCTGTTGGAATGAGTGAACGATGCAGGCTTGACCATTGGATTGTACCAATAACTGACACTACCCGTTTGGTAAAAGTTCGCCCTCAGATGACCTAGTTCTTGTTATGACTGGAATTGCTGCATAAAATGTTTTGACAGTTAGGTATTCTATCGGTGCATCGTGATCGATCAGCATGTTTCAGTGGATATACGCTGACACTATCCACTATGATTTTTGATTTCTTGTTGTGTTCTTCATGAGTTCCGTAGCGTTGTCAATGTAGCCACTATTTATATCGTACCAAAGGAGTAGCGTGGTTTTGTTCAAGTGGGTAGACTTTCTGACTCAAGTTCATACACAATGCACCGCATTGATGGATTGAATTTGAAAGTGAAACCAACACTGGACGGAGATTTAAATGCCACAATCCACAAATGGTCGTTTTCCCGGCGGGGACATTATGTGTGCGTAAAGTTGACGTGCCCCAATGAGGGTGGAACAGCTGACCAATACACTCATCCAATGTGGAAAACTCTGTTGTGAATTAGAAACACTAGTCGCAATTGTCGCTGCACCGTAATCATAACTGTTCGTATGTTGTCAGCGTATCTACATTCTGGCTGTCGTCGAAGTGCTTTGGGATAGAGTTCGGTACGTAACAGTCATATCATGGAAAAAATTGGACTGAGATCGTATCCCGTGGTCACACAAGTTTCCGGCATACCGAATCTTGCCAGCACTTTCGGACATGTATGTTGTGTCTCGACTGAACTGTCACCTAACCTGGCCCCACAATATGTATCCCAACGATCCCGGTTTTAAGATAATTGGAAACAGTTTGTTTTTATTGGCAATCGAGCCAGACGTGCGGCAATTATGGTGGTAATCACTGTCTAGTCACTTCTCCGGAATTGGGGTTACGAGGGCGATGGACGGAGAGATTGCACGAATCAGGTTACCGTTCCCTGTTCATTACCCTGACGACTACGTATCCAGGACCCTCGAGAGGACGCCGACACGTTCTCACGCCGGTGGCTAGTCCCAATCTATTTCTAAATAGTCCTTGGGGCAAAAGAATCATGAGTGTACCACAATAAAGCAGTTGACAGCTGTACATTACTGAGCCTGCCTCTATGTGGACAGCAAAACAGTAGTGAGTGTTGTTCCATTGAACAAACCGTCGCGGATGACCATTGGCGATGTGTGAGGATGACACAGAGAAAAGATTATAGATGTCCTTAGAATGCTTCTTTATATGCGCAAACCGGATTCGGTTTCCTTTCTGGTACCCTTTCAGATGCTAGATATCCATGGTGGAAATAAAAGACCGAGCGGTATTTGCAATGCCATTCAGCGAAGTTACTTCATGGTTTCTCATGAACAAATCCGGATCTCTTCGCACCTTCATTCAGTACAGCTTGGACACTTCCTTTGTTTCTTGTAGGTGTTTCGGTTTATTATTTGATTGATAACTTGTCGCCATTTCGATCAGCTTGGAACCAACTAATTGCACCAGTTCCGGATTACCGATCGACAAACGGTATCCCATCGATCAGTGTTTCATAAAAGCAGAATGTAACCATAGCCAATGAAGAAAACGGTGTCCGCAAAGAAATTCCTTTCCGATTTATCACATCAAGTGGTTGCATGTATAAGACGAGCATAGTACAGATATCTCATTGGCCGATTAAAGCTCAGTTTATAATGATGACCGAGGCGAACAAGCGAATATGGCAAGGTTAGTGATAAACAATGCTATAGTCGTGGTGGCCTATGAGAGGACAAAGGTCAAACAAAAAACGGTAAATAAATGGGCAGATCAAAATGAGAGTTGTGAGTTAAGATGAGAGAGCAGGCTCAAGTTACGTGAGATACACTGGCAAACAAATATCATTCATAGCAAGTGATGTAATCGGGAAGGGACACTGACGACAAAACTAATGAGCTGTTAAGATTGTGGTGGATACCGGATGAGAGGGGGAGGCTGGCTCGGTTTTCCGCACAGTCAATCCGGGCCGGGTCATCAACAGTGTTAGGATCGTCATTTTTGCTTGCATACCTCTGGATTGAAATTTTGAACTGCAGTCGCCTCGGCCTTGGTTAAAAGACGCCCTATTCCCTCAGGTAATCTCCGGGGCATAGTGTGAATAATTTAGAATGTATTCAGCTTTTCCACAACGTGCTCGCTATCCACGAAATGACCGAGAACGGAGCTGCGAATGCGCCTACACGTTCCTTTGTACAGGGTTGCAGGACAGTGCTCAGCAATACGTTTTGATAATCTCCTCGTCGTGTCCGATGTATCACATACTACAAATGCACGTAAAGGAGTTGTCTTTATGAGGCAACTCGTCTTTTGAAACACTGGGTCCTGGTATTTTGTTTGCTGTGAGGGAAATCAAGGATCGAGTCGTAATGAGGATAAACGGTTGACTTGCAGGATACATTCCAGAGTTCATTGTGGACGAAAATCATTATATCCCACCTTCCAACCCCAACCGTCACACAGGATCATCTACCACAATCTTAAGAACTCATTATTTTTTATCTTCAGTGTCCCTTCCCGATTACATCACTTGCTATGAATGACATGTGCTTCTAGTGTATCCGCTGTCTCGTCCTACCTCACAACTTTCATTTTGATCTGCCGATTTCTCTACCGTTTTCTGTTTAACCTTTGTCCTCTAATACCCCACGACCACCATAGCATTACCTATCCCTAGTCTTGTCATATCCGATTACTGTGCTTACTCGCCTGTGCCATCGTTATAAACTGAGCTTTAATGGGCTAACCGTACTGCAACTCGCTTCATCGTCTCCGGATTCTACAAGCTCGTTCACCCTCCCCCTTCCCGAGATCCAATGGCAGAGGCCGCTGGTCAGGCCGGCGTGGGGATAGCACTAAGTGCATGCGCAGAAGCAGTTTTGCTC